GGGGGGGGGGGGACTAACATCCCTAAATTTCATAAGGTTTTTAGTCTACTTCTCCTGCTGGCAGTTTCTCATAAATCCTCCTAAGCAAATGCTACACAGTTCGAAAGAAAACTACAGAATAACAGCAGTTTCAAAATCTCATGAAGACTGATCAACTGTTAGAATGTATAATAAATACTCTATCTAAATAATTATTTTTGTCATCTTGTAATTATGTCCAGCCATGAAGTGAACCGTTCCGCCATATCACTACAAAGGGGGTAAAAAAGGGAAATTAGCTTTAAATGATGATCCCTTATAATAACTTTGAAATTAATCAGCAATCAGAAGAAAACTGCTTTCAGCAAAATCTTGTGTCTTCATTACAGATTGAAGGTTTACCCTAGCGAATTAGATGGTTCTAGATGGTTCCGGATGGTCCTGGATAACAGTCACGTATTAGGATCCTCCGAACATTAAATGTCGACATCCCCAAGCTCCCCTCGTTAACCCCTCAGGAAGCCTCGCGTTAATGGAGGGCGCATGTCCACAATATTAGACCTCGAGTAACCCGACATAACCTTGTCCTGACAGCTGATATCAGCATTAGACAAGGCCGATCCTGAAAGTTCGAGGTCTAGATTTAGTTCGCAGTTAAATCAGCCATCATTGTTGCTAATATATTATTAGCATCATCAGTGGCTGTCACTATGCACAGCAACGCTGCATGATTGGCGAATCGAATTACCTGGCAGCAACTTCGATAACGGCTGGAAATTGATTTCACGATAAACTGGAGAACAGGCCAGATTCAAGTAGCCATAGCTGCTGCTGCTGGAGTCACGGGAAGATCCATTGGACCTGAAACTCTTATCGAATAGGAATTTCCAGCCGATAGAATGGCTTATGAATTTTCTGAATGATACTTTACGGATATCAACTATTTGAATAGACATACAGGGAGAGGAGTATCTATTTCTTGAGGTCAGGTCAGCATTGATCCGTCCCTAGCGTCGAGCTTCTCTACCATTCGACTGACTTCCTTCGCTTTGTACATTCAGCTGACTACGCTTGCCCTGGCACACAAAATCCATGCGAAAACTCCCATTGTCCATTGCGTATCGTCCTCTCACCCTTACGCTTAAAGTATGCGGGTCCATTCAAACCGACTTTACGGATCGAATTCGAGCGACTCGAATCTTTTTAGGAAGGATCAATTAATCAAGGATTTTTATTTGATGCCGAGCTTTTGGGACTTAAAGAATTCTTTGATCGCATCACTTTACTATGCGATACTATACGAATAGGATACGAATTGTTTTGAAATTTCAATCAGTGAATGTCGGGGTCTTTAGAAATAAATTAATGGGCCTTCGGCTAATAAGAGCTGGGTCAAGCATATGGCTGTCAGTACCGATACATTATATAGGTAATTTATAGGTAACGCAGCGCTATAGTTCCGCGCTCACGTCAATTGTAAATGTCAACGAGACGGTAGCTAATGCAAACATCTCACCCGTTGACATTTCCCAAGTGAACTGAAGAGTCAGAGAAACACTCGAGGCGTCTTGGCGTCAAAACGAAAATGTTAAGTTCTCTCGATTCCCGACGTGTAAGAAAGTCGAAAGGTTCCCCCTGGTAAAGTATATCTCGACGTTAGACGTCGGAACGACATCTTCAACAAGTACATTTCTGATAACGGATGCGATCGCTTCTATATAAAATTGTACGAGGTTAATGCTGTGGGATTCGCTGGATAAGAATTTCCGATAAGGACGACACGCGTCGCTCATTCCCTTCCCCATTTCACTCTTCCTTTCTTCCCGTGACTTATTACCCTAGTACTTTTTTTTTTTTTTTTCAAGGATTCTCAGACAATCTCAGATCTTATTTATCCCTTCGTTGCGAGCTGAATGATGGCGACGTCATTGATATCGGAGTGGGTATTACTCTGCTAGTGCTCCAAAAAAAAAAAAAAAAACGGATGGAATATCCATTTCGAAGATAGGTAGGATTTATTGAACACCTTCAAAGTCTGTACTCGAGAAAACCATTACTTTGTTTCACCAGGATCAGGAAATAATGCGGGATACCTTGTATTGGACTGGAATCGATTCCTATCAACTTCTTGATTCTTATGGAAGAAGGAATCAGGACGATCAGTGTTTAGGTTCACGGTGACGTTGCAGAAAAGAAAGCTTTTCATAGTCCAGCTGTCTCAGGCGGACTTATTGTTTCCGGAGCAACGAAATTAATCACTGTTTCAAGACGATTCTGATGTCGTTAGTTTCTTCGGCATGTACGGTTGATGTACTTCCGCCCTGATACGAGGCTGATGGAAGCAGGGATGTAAGTTATCGCAAGCAGTATACTCAACAACCATTCGTTATTTGTGGGCCAACCTTAATGTCCCTCTACGAGGATTTAGCTGTTTCCAGTATTCCCTGCGGTAGAAAGAATCTTGATTTTTCTTTATAAGTCCCTCGAAATAGTCCTCATTTCTTAGCCACTAACGACATCGGTCTGAGATGAAAATTATGTCTAATTCAGTTAGAAATCCCATTAGCTATCCCTCTAAGACGTACCCTCAGGAGTTCCGTTATAAAAGTCAGACTACATATGGTCAATTGGACAATATGGCACAATAGGATTCCCTTCGTATGGGACCAAGTCAGGTGAATATCAGCGACTTGGACAGTTGATCGATTTCTTCTTCGTCTCATGATGGATTCAATAACCTCCTGCGTCATTCAGAAATTCATGAAACCACTCGCTGTCGCAGCTGATATTGTCCAGTTGCTTATTGGGTGCATCCAACTGATCTCACGACAGCGAAAAGACAGTAGGGTCCATATGACTCGTTCTGGAATCGTCGGGGCATCTTGTTGCTGAAACAATGTATGTATTCTTATTATTATTATTCATCGATTTAAGTTTAAACAGTGTCACCTCGTAAAGTGATATCATAGTAGATTTACCACTTTCACCCCGCAGCAAATTCTCCCTACTACTAAACCTCCTCCGACCGGATATTGTTTTTTATCAAATTCTGATACTGTTCTGATATTACTTTGTCGTGGCAACTCTAAATGCTTTATCAGTCTTATCGTGTACATTTGTATGTACCTACCATGAACTATCCGAAGGCTATCCAGCAGCAGAGAGAGACGCGTTGTAAGGTAGGCAAAATGGCACTGTGTTCCAATGCACTTTGGTCAATGAATAGAGTCGGCAGGGAGAATACAGAGAATTACTTGAATGACGGCACAAGTAGTCGAACCAATAGAAATCCTAGAAGCGTCATTATCAACCAGAACAAAACCTGTAATATTATAAGAAAATATTGTATATACAATAGTGATTTAGCAGATTTTTTTTAAGGTTATGAAATTTTAAGCAATGTACCTCAACCGACAACTCGTACAAGGCACTTGTGTTATCGAAGAAATTTTTGAAAAAATTCAAAGTTTTTGACGAATTACGAAAGTTACCTAAACTGAAAAATTTCAAATTGACAGATTCACTTTCAAAAAATTTTCATCTACCATACAGAGCAATTTTTTATTGATATTCTCGTAGAACAGTGACGTGCAATTTTTCAGTGTCTCTTATCTCATTAGATATACTTTCAAAATAATCATCCTTCGGCAATCCCACTGATGCAATTAAATATTTTCCAGTAGGTGAATAATGCTTTATATAGCGAATAATTTTTAGATTGATTTCAAGGTCACCACTAAGTAAAGCACTGACTTGAGTTATTGATCTTACAATTATTAGATGACAATAAAACCGTGAAATCATTTAAGATAGTTTTAGGATTTTCTTGAATTCTCTTAATCCACTCGCTCGGTGTATAAGATAAAACCGCCAGCGGACTTGACGTAAAATGATTTTCCATAATTCGATTAACGCAGTCAATAAAATCTTGACCGTGACTCGTTCGGGATTCCGTCAGACGACGTGGTTGAGTAAAACCAAGGGTCAGGAGTATCGTTATCAGCAACATTGTAGTCAGCATTATGTGGTTCGTTGATTCTCACTGAAGTGGCAAGTCTTTCTCTGACGTAATCCATATATATATATATGTATGTAGTAGAGAAAGCAACCAACAAGTCAGACACTTAAGCGCGGCAATTCCAACTTTTTCGGAATTACGAGCACTGATTGCACAGCAATTGCTTCTGGCTCCTCCTCACGCCTATCCACCCGTCGTTCCACAGGATTGAACGTTTCTGAACAGTTCTGACTGGTTCCTGAACGCTATCAAATGTTCATACTCCGTGATGGATTACTGTTGTTTTCTTAGGCAACTTTATACAGAGCACTGTTTTCTCATAAACTTCAAACGACAACTGCGCAATTCCCTAATTTCCCCTTAATAACAGTCTCAACATTTACTTAGTTAGATTGGATCGTTTTCAATTGCTCTTTAGACATCTTTTAATATAACAGTCGAATTTAAATTTTGTATTTGACGTTAGGGAACAAAGGATTTCAGGATTTGGTTCTGACAGCTTTATCCTGAGGAAGGTATCGTTAACAGCGAAAGTTATACTATTATTATTAGTCAACCGGTAATCCACGTAATGATAATATCATAAGTTATCTTCTACCTTGTCACGAGAAATGTTCTTCCACACATCACACATATCAAAAATATTTATAGGAACTATTATTCTCATAATTTCTCATCGTTAGTCTATCCTGTCTTTGAAAATTATTTCAAATTGTATAATATTAATGATTCATAAGACTATTCAAGAGAATTTCTACCACCTAACAAAATGTCTATTGCAAAAGCTAAAGCCAAGCTTACACATGGGCATGAATATATTTTTCACGCTCTAAGTGTCTTCGTGAAATGTATGATAAGACATGTAAGTGCAAGTCTTTTAACAATGAGTCAGGAAGGATGAAAAAAATGGATAGATACAGGTGATTAAAATGGTTACAAGGAAACTACCAGCGTGTCTCAGTAATTAGCGTGTAAAAACTTGAAGCGGTGACAAGGGTGTCAATATTGTAGGGAGTGTATATACTATATATATACTGATAGTTATTACCATCTTCATGAACTCGACGTTTCGCGTAGGCGTCGGCATCGACTTAGTCGTCTGAAAACTTGCTTCCATTTAACCAGATAAGAATTAATTAATAATTCTCCCAGGAATGCGAGCATAGAAAATGTTAAGCCTGTTCCTAATATAACAAGTGCGCCCTGTATATGCTGCATACTAAAAGTTTGATCATCGATGCTGCCTACTTTATGCCAAGATTTTGAGGATTTATATTGCATCCGAGTAAGCCACAATGCACTAAAACCACCTTGATTGACACCGTTGATAATCCAGTTGATAGTTGACATTAAAGTACTGTACATTGGTACGGCAATAACTATAGGTTGTAATGAAACTTCTTCCGGAATATAGGTGACGTGTCGAAACTGGAATTTAGTATTTAATACCTGCAACAAGTAGTTAATTAGATAATTTTTATATAGCATACAGGGCAGTTTATAGAGTCTATTATGAAAATGTGAAAAGTGATCGGATGAAGTTTCTCAAATCTGACTGATAAATTTGAACTAAGAAGCCCTGTGGATCCTGTTAATTTTATAATAAGATCAAAGACTCTGTTTCAAAGGGAATTTTGTCGGAAATTCACCCTTGACTAGACTCGGGTGCACTCGGGTGTGGTCGGTTCAAAAGACATAAAATTTGACTAGTATACCTATACCGATATGTTTTAATATTCACCAGTGTATACGAAGCCACCATTGGTAGTGTACTTATTCCACTCGTTAAATTCGCCAAAGCAAATTGAAAATCTGCAATCGTTACATTCTGAAAGAAAATATCATTTGGATCAATGACCATTCAATGTTATTTATCTAATAATAATCCATTCACGAACCTCATAGTTCTGAAATAAATGCGGACAGCATTCGTGAAATTGCTGCTTCAAATGAGGCGTCCCAACAATTTTTCCTGTGTAACTGCTTTCAAATTGTTCAATGGTGCGAAATTTCCTAGAGCCGTAATTAGTTGAGGGAGACATTAGCATAGTCAGATTAACCAGATAGACGCGCGTTGCAGCGAATCCAAGAAAAATCCAACAAATCATATACAATCTTTGCGTCAGTGACGTCACACGGATTACGGCGGAATTACCAAGGAACGATGGAATGGTTTGAAGGAGGGGAAATTTTTTATCGAAAATATTCGATAAAGTGCCCATTAAAATGATTATCGATACCATTCCCGTCATCATTAGCCAGTCCTGAAACATTGGGAGGTTCAAAGAAAGCTTTAAGTCACTGAACGATTCACCACTTACCTTTAACGTAAGGGCCGTTACGTATAGAAGCGACAAATTTAATTTCATTGCAGGAAGTATTATCAAGGGCGAACTATACATATAGGGCTTTGAAAATATAGCAGGTGCATCTGGATACGTGACAATGCTACCATAGCCGATATCTGCTTCGCCATTTTGGACCACCGAGTTGATATCCGCTATATTAAGGATCAAAAACACATGCAAGTTGTACGATTAAAACAATTAATTATTTTACATTACCAATTTCGTTCACTGCTGAATATTGAGCTGTAGCATTAAGTCGCTGGACAATCCAAGCAAAGAGATGGCGAAACATTCCCGTATCGACTTTAGTCCCATTATGAATTTCCAAAGTCCAATACGGCATCCACATCGCAGTAGATAACTTTACTGGGCAGCCATTAAAGTTATTCGATATCTTTGATATATCATAATGCAAAGTCTTCGAAGAACAATCACCCATCTTAATGACTGTCACAATTCCACATTGCCTATAAGCGTTCATGGTGTATGAATATAACTCCACAGTGTTATTTTCATTGGGCATTAAAAGCACAGTGCGTGCCCTGTTAGCGTCGGCGACGACTTTGAAGATGCTCCGCAAGTTCTTTATCCGTCGCAAGGATATGATCACGAGCATTCCTGAAGGTTTTAATTCCGGAAGCATATATATAGCCATGTAATCATCATGTGGACCAATAATCATAACAGCACCCTTATTCTGATGCCTCTTGAAGTTCTTTGAACTCTTAACGATCCAAGGATTCCTAAGGTATATCGACAAGTCGGTGAAACTTCCAATAAGGTCGCTGCTGCCATCCGAGTAAACGATTATCCTACTACCAACATTAGGTAGTCCGTTCATTATACTCGTAACGCATAACGCCAGCCTTTCCTGCACTGGTATTAAATTCTCAACGGGTAGAATTCGAGCGGTGACCTCTGACCGAAGTACCAGTAAAACCAATGAAACCCAAGACATCGTCCTACTGTCTGAAACGTCCCAGTTCATCCTAACGGAAACGGAAGACTCACTGGACTGTGTTGTTCACGTCTCTATGTCAAGGAGCGTTCGGGTGACGTGTGTATAATAAAGAAATAAGGTCAGATAGAAATTACGCCATTTTCACAGAGGTAATTCTGACGAAAGCAGTACTGCCAATACGGAATGGAGCTTAAGCGTTGGCTTTGAGCTGTCACAATTTTATCATAAACTACAGGGTGGTCAATGATGATCAGGATTATTTCAGGTTGGCATACGAGTAGCTTGGATACCTTGTGAACTGGTACGGGGAATGACTGTAATTCAAGAGGAAAAAATAAATAAATAAAAAGTAAACCTCAAATCGAAGGTACTTACCAAGCAAGAACCTTCAGCCATGACTTGTTTAAGGCTGATGTCGATTGCGGCGACAATCCAATCGACTTTATTTATGCTTCCTTTTTCTTTTTTGTTTCTTAAGAAAAAATGTCCAAGCAGGTGTTTTACTGTGGCAAAAGGCTTGCCAGAAGGTGGGATGGTATCAAACCGATCGATAAAATTGCTGTAACATCTTCCTGCCAATAAAAATTTCTGGTCGCCATTTGGTACAAACTACCAAATAACGTATTTTCCTGAAATCGTACTTATACACACCTTTAATGTCTGAAAGCCCTATTAGACTTGGCTTGTGTAATTTGAAGGGAGACCATTTAAAGCGGACCTTGCGCGACTTGAAAACGTTAATCGAGGCGAAAGGTCGACTCTGAAGTATCTAATATCAGTGTTACCAACCCCTGCCGTTTTACTCTGAAAATTTGCACAGATTTAGATGTCACTGTAAGTGTGAACAGAGATTGGAGTTAATTCGTAGAAACAGGACGATTAAACGTTATAGAGACGAAACGCGCCATCAGAATTCTGTGCGGAATTCTGTATTAAGGTAGACGTGAGATATGTACGTAAGAGGCGAGTTGGGTACGAGGACAGATTTAAATTCCAGTTACAGACTGCAACATCATCGCTAAGAATATTCGCAGTATCCATTTGCCGCAGCGTAATCGATAGTAATCGATCAAAATGATCTCGCTCTTTTTCTATACCTATTTTCATGTACGACTGTTCTCCAGGTGCGTAATTGGATAAACTGTTGCCACTACAATTCCATTTCAGAATATAAAGCTACTGCTCGAATACAAGGGTGGCTGTTTGGAATTTTTTTGAAGAATTGACGGCTTCGAGACACAGTGCGAGTTAAGTAATCTGAAAATGGAGAATTTATGGATTAATGAGATTAGACAAAATTGCAACAATTTGCTTCTAGGATATTTCGAGAATTACCTGAGGCCTTTTCAATATGGTCGATCTGAGGATTTATTATGAAGAAACTCGTGGGATCAAAGTTCTCGAAAGTCTCTGAAGAGTCGCAAAGTTTCGCGTGCGTTCGGTAGAGGCTTCTTCGAGAAACGACGTCATTAAGGATTTCGCGTTGTACAACTTCCTGGTCGTCATCCGCGTCGAATAAGTGCTCGTTAAAATGTCCTCCAGTTACTCCATGTACTCTTTATATACCCCAGGCGACACGCTTTTTTTTCACGCTCAGCTTATAATTGGTCCATTTGTAAGAAAAACACTCAATGGTTATCGAGACAATGAAGAGGAGCACGGATTTCCATCATCCACGTGAATTAGAGCCGAGTTCAGAATCAGATCATTATTTTCTGATTACAGTGCGATCCAGGTGTGGCAGTAGATCGATTCTTTCACGCGCTCTACTCGCGCAAGAGTGCCCCTATGCCTCTTCTCCTGGGAACGGCATGCTCTGAGGTCACAGAGACCCTGGCCAAGATCGTTCCGTACTGGAACATTGTCCAAGTCTCCTTTGGCTCCACAGCTCCGGCCCTGTCGGACTCCACCGAGTTCCCATTATTTCTGAGGACAGTCGCACCAGACTCCAGTCACAATCCTGCCAGGATCGCCCTGATCAAGCACTTCGGCTGGGACACCGTAACGGCTCTATCGCAAAACGGCGACATGTACTCTCTGGTGAGTTGAAAAAATCATATAGAAGTTCGAGAGTGAACTTAACCTGGAACAAAGGTCAATCGATACAAAGAGGTCACGAGGAACGCTCCGGATGTTTTCTGTCCTCCTGTTCCACTTCCATCACGACCTCCTCTCTTACCTCTTATCCTCACCCTTATCAACATCCTCGGCCACAGCAACTCCCTCCTACATCGCCCGATTCTATTAAGGTGAACGTACGACATTCCCTAATTACATTGGGGGAGGGCGACAGCACTCTCCAACTAAGAAGGGACTGCAAGCTCTAGCACACTTAGACTATAACCTACCGTCAGCGCTTCAAGAACCTGAAGACCACATCCTACGCCCTACTAAAACTCGTGTTTCAGGCAGTGAACGACCTGGTCACGGAATTGGAACAGGCTAACATCACGTGTACAGCTACTATCACTTTTGCCGAGAACGACTATAAAGACCAGCTCAGGACTCTTAAGGTCAGTTGAATGAATTTGAAAACATCCTTAAGTGATCGAGGACCTCATTCAGAGACTGATTTCAAAGCCTCTACTGAAGTTGGGACACCCTAGTCTTCCTGCTGATTCTAATCGTGCCTAAGGGATAAAACGTTCAATGAGAAACACGTTGTTCTCAGGATTAACGAAATCCCATAAATTCTATTCCTGATAACGGATGGTCTGACTTTCTGCCGACATGGGCTTCTTATAATTTAATTTTTTTTTTTCTGTTATCGGAGTTCTTGTTAATTTACAGGAATTGGATACGCGCATAATTATTGGCAGTTTCTCACCGCGTCTGGCACCAAAAGTCTTCTGTGAGGTTAGTATATACGTGCACTAATATATAGTACACTAGGATATTCAACCCAAATTATCATGATGATTCGCATACGCACTTACAATTAGACACTTCCAAATGTAACTAATAATGTCCTAAGACAACCAGAACCTTTTCCTGCCCGAAGGAATAATTCGAAAAGCCGCACTACTTATGCAATTTCACTTAATTTTCCCTGTCCTGCAGAGGAAATTTAATTCCGGAATATCGAAACGCAATTTCACTGGCGAAGTCACGGTGGCCGTTCTTGAGAAATGAGGGGAAAAAAGAGAATGAAATTAAAGAAAAACGAGATACAGGATTCTCATAAATTCCACGAACAATCTTATCAAGACTGATTAGCTTAGTTAGTGCATCAGCAGACAGAGGTCGCTAGCGAGATGCGTATCAAACTTTCAGAATATCATCATCCATTTTATTATCATATCGCAAAAGATCCCCTCAATAAAAATGTCCACTCTAATTGTTAGATTCATTAACTTGTAAGAATATCATAACGCAGTCATTCATTCCCAAAATTACAATTTTTTTTAAAGCTCTCATTCCGATCGTTTTATGATTTCAGTCGGGATAGGAATATCTCTTGAAATCCTCCAATGTCTCAATCGAATAATACTGAACCAACAAAAGACCATCGACGTCCGCCAGAGGGCATCGAAGGGCGTCCAAGTCCATTCGCCCTCCGCAATAACTGAGTCGAATCTGTCCGACTGGGATGAAGTTTAATATTCCTCTGCTAAAATGAACCTGACCTCTTATTACAGGAGGGTTCGTTGATTTCTATTAAAAAAAAAGGAAAAAATATTAATTTTTGACACACCCTACAGATTAAACACTATTACCCAACGATTATATACAGTAATAATTATTCGATCATACTGACAGTTATTAAATTATTACCTGTATTTAATTATTGTTATTTATTTAGACAGAAAAATACCCCTTCCGATTTAATCAAATAAGAAAATGAATTAGTGCTTATAAATCCCTTAGGAAATTGAACTGTCTCTTCCGTAGGGTTTCAATTTTCATTTGCTTATCAATGTGCTTTATTACGCTTCCTAAGCAAGACTGATAAGGCTGATACGAGATAAGGCTAACCCTTGCTGTATATAGTCAACCTGGTTCACTCGAAGTCTAATGAAGCTTCTTGAAACATATTTATCTGTCACCCTTGGAAATGTTATTCAAGAAACGAATAGAGCTACGGGTCCCCTTGGATGACATAGAAAGTATCTCCATCTTCGGAAGACGAAGTAGAGCTACTGGGTTACCCGAAGAAATTTCATAAAGTCTTAAAAGTCTCTGCAGGGAACGCAGCTTACTTCAGCTTAATCGAGCTTACTTAAGCAACTTACTTCATCTTATTCTCTCTTTGGTCTCGCTCCTCCCGTGGTAGAATAGTATCATCTTGAACACAGAATTTAATACAAATATTTTCGTAATGACGACCAAGGAAAATTTTATCCATAAACCAACTCTGTCGCAGTATCTGTCGATACAATTAATGCTAATTAATTCAAACCTTTAACGTACAATTCTCCATTTATCCACAGGCCTGGAAACTCGGTATGCATGGTGGTGACTATGCGTGGATTCTACCGGGTGACACAATCGATTTATCAGGTATGACCGGTGACTGGTGGCACATTGGACCCGAGGATTGTTCCCCGTCGCAACTTTCCCAAACTTTGGATGGTCTTATAATAGTCAAAAGTCACGGGACCGTCCTGGCAAATGATAACAGCTATTCTGGAATGGTACGTATCAATGTGGTTATTGGTCGATCGAAAAAAATGTAAGGTAATAAGGCTGTGAAATCACTCGGCAATCACGCTGAAATCATTTTGGAAAAACCTATAGGAGGCCGGAATAAGCTGAGAAAAAGGCAATTTTATCGTCACTCAATTACCATCCTGGACGACTCCTTTCTGGACACGTGGCCCTGGGAAATTGAAGCCAGAATGTGAACTTCCTCTCTTTGCCCTTTCGCAGAATCCGTACACTCTACTTTCTTTACCTTTGCCATCGTCCCTTTTTGTACTACTCCTTTTTATGTCAGGGACACACACACGTCCTTCGGAAAATCCCTCTGGGATTTCCAGAAGAAGTGATGAACGATACTTATCGCTTAGTGATTATTATCATACTTTGTGAAAAGCACGTAACTATATTGATGAGGATCTCCTCTAATCGTGATCTGACGTGAGCTATCGGTCACGTAATCGTTTAGTCATATTCCTCATGTATGTGTTATGAATCTATTCCTGAACTGACATATAATTATTTTATTATAATACATTAATTCACAGTCACTGCACGTTCCACTTTGTAAAATCGTGTCATGTCCCTGCGTAATGGGTTCAATGAATTTTTTAATATTGTGGGTAATTTTTCGTATTTTTAATAGATTTAAAAAAAGGTACCTAACGAATTAGAGTTTGGAAATAAAGTTACCGCTGTGGATAAGTTAATTGCCCAAATGAAAAAACTCTATTTTTTATCATTATTCACACAAACGATACCGTCCTGTAATCAAGCTAATGACAAGTCTTTATGTGTAATCGAATTTCGGATATCTCCTAAATTCATGGCCTAGCAGCTGGTACATACCATTCGAATGGGTGGTTTTCGGGGTGGCAGGAAAGTCACGTAGAAATCGTATTTGGTTAATGAATCGCAAGGAAGCTGAATCATGAGATTTGGGAACCCTAAACTTTCATCCGTTCCTGGTTGAATACTGTTCTATCCTTTCAAAGAGTTCGATGCTGACTGCAATTTTGATATCCCTTTGATCACAGTAACTAACCTCATAGCTAATGGAGTAATTCGACAATTCCATAATACATCAACGTATACCTTGAATTGAAAAATCTTAAGATACAACTAAGACACCGTAGTATATTTTATTATCGCATCCTTGTACTTTCATCGTCTAAGAAAGTTTATTATACCTGCTCATTTTACTCAGGAAGGTTGATGCGACGTTGGAAAATTACCCTCGATTACGAGCGACTGTAATCTTCTCGGTGGTAACGTATCTCCCAGACGACCAGACGACATCAGTGTCTAACCGCGAAACGAACTGAGCATGAAATTCACTCAGACTCTTCTCAGGATTCCTGATCAAAATTGACAAGTAAAAAAGGAGAAAGACTCAAAGAAACCATTTGTCACGTTGCAGACGAGCGCGGAATTCTCATCGGAATTGGCGAAACGCGGCGTGACCATATCGCGATACGCAGCGCAGACTTACGACGCCATCTTGGCAATGGCTCTAGCACTAACCAAAACAGAGGCCCTCTTGAATCGCAAGAATACAAGCCTGGCCCAGTACAGTCACTCGCGAAAGGATATGGCGTATGATCTACTGGACGAACTTCGTCGGCTGCACTTCGTGGGAGTTTCTGTAAGCAAATAAAAACGTAAATTTACCGTTATACTTTATTTCGTATACTATAGGACGTTTCACAAACGATGAATAATCACATTGGCACCCTGCTGAATACCCGGGAGACTCCAGAGGTAAATTGCAAACGTTTAATAACGCCCGGCATGACAGAAAGAGCCACACGGAGATTTGAGAAGGCTTTCAGACCGTCTTCAGATAATTCATCTCATTTAACGTTATCCTGTGGGTTACGTAACTCTCACTCATTTGAATTTTCAAAAGGGATTACGATCAGCCCCATCAAATGATACCGGTCCCTGCAATCAGAATAATCCATATATATATATTGAATTTTCAAAAGGGATTACTTAGAGTGTATATATATATATATATATATGAATATATATATATATATATACACTCTAAGTAATCCCTTTTGAAAATTCAATATATATATATGGATTATTCTGATTGCAGGGACCGGTATCATTTGATGGGGCTGATCGGGTTGGCATCACTGCTTTTTATCAGATGCAGGGTAAGTCAAAGTATTAAGTCACGTGAATACTACATTGCGGCTTTATTCGAGTATACACCTCCAACCCCACTTTACGTTTGACATAGTGATGCATGAAATGCGGTTATCACGATACGCTGGACGTTCCATGCTAACAAGCAGACGGATGATTCCATTTACCATAGCGCCATTACAAAATACGCTTTGCTCGTAGCGTCATTTTTTTTATTATTGTGTGAATGTACCCAAGCCGTTAGGATTCTAGAGACAAATTTTCCGAGGGTAAAAGAGACAAAGGTCATTTTTTCCAGTCGATGTTTTAGGACCTGTTATATACATTGGAATTTTTTTTGTACCTGCCATAAGTGAAACAACAAAATGATGGATAATTGAAGAACAAAAAATCCTAAGCCATAATGCTGCATTGTAAGAATCTAACGCGAAGATAATAAAAAAGTCAGGTTAAGGTGAGTGGTATCGATCCTGAGTAAAAGTGGGCCTACGGCCTACGATAGAATTTCGTCCTCATTTCATTCTCCTCGTCACCCACTTCATTTTGTTTCCTTTTTTTTCCGTTTCGTCCAACAGAAGAAGACGCTGGATTATTAGAACCAACGACCTATCAAGGGATCCCTGCTCCCCCAGGGAACCTCGTGGAAAGCGGTTTTCTTGAAGGATTTGCATGAAAAATGCGCGGGACGCCTAGCGTCGCCGTCGCGTACTACCTTCTGTCAAATCTCTAAGCGCATAATGGAACAATGGATCAAGTACACTTGGTCACAACAATGCCATATAATTTGAGTGCACTGAGAAACCTCAACGACCTGACGGTACACGTCATGGAGCCTCTATTTTCCAGCCAGTTTTCTTTATGGTATCATATATTTTGAATTATTAAACAAAAAAATTGTATAATGAATACGACAAAAAATTGACCGTAGACCTAGTGGAGCTGAATATGATTTTTCTCACGAAAATAATGTACTTAGTGGTCTCTCATCCATCATGATAAAAAAATGCAGCAGGTCGTCAGGATAGGGTATAAGGAGGACAAGTCCCGCCAAAGAGTTTACTCCCGCAGGATAGTAAATGTTCACGATAGGGGACGGGCGTAGGGAGACGGCGTAGAGACTCAGTTCAGAAAGACTAACGATTCGCAAGGGAAGATGAAAGTGAAAGTGAAAAAGGGAAAAGGCTGAGTATAAAGGCTCGGAGAGGAATGAGAGAAATAGAGATGTGTGGAAAAATAAAAAGAAGAGTAAGGTATATGAATAGCACGAAGATTCGAATACATAAGAATGGGACCATTACCTGCTGTTTCAGGGCGTTTGTTTAATGTCCCGTAAAATCCCTGAAGTTCGGCGAGGCGATGGTCCACATTGGGAGGCTATAAGGTTCCGTATGAATAACGCCTGAACGCGTGTCTACGCATGCAACCCACGCAGTGGGAATAGAGCGATAAAATGTGACGAGCTCACTTTCCACGCCGTATTACTGTTGGTAAAGAGGGTGGCTGGCTGATTAGTGTGATCTTCCTGCCAAATATTATAGTACCGTGCAGTACGAGATATCCCTAACGATAGTATCTTCAGCCCTTATCATCTTGTACCACTTTCACTTCACAGAGACCCTTCTTCTGCTTCTGCTTCTTGATTGTAATTTCTTCATGGCGCTTTAGCTATCATAACTCATCGCTCTTCCACATGTGGGTCAAATTATTTTCAGGAGACTCGGAAGACTCGCTGACGTTCATAATTCCAATGGATGTATTTCTCCTGATATTTCATCGACGCAAAGTATCCTTTTCTAATGACTGAATCAAGCAGAATCTGAGACGGCTTCTAATTGATGAACAGGTTTATTACGTAGCTCAATTAGTTCCAGGAATATTAATATAATTCTTATATTTGATACTGTGGATTTTAGGTCTGAAGCCTCGAGATAACGTAGCTCAGGAATTAACAGACTGGAGAGAAGTCTCCTGAGCGACACTAATTAATTAATAAAATACGACTAATTTCTTAGGATGACAATACACAGGTCTATATTACCAAAACGTCTCGGAATCACGACTACTGGCTGGTAGAGACGAGTCAAGGACGTTGTGTATTTTTTGAATTTAAAAAGCAACTATCGTTCATGTATTAATTTTTTAGAAACGTGTTCTCAAAATTTTCATGTCATTTTCTAAACTATATCTCGAGGTCAGATAGTTCTTCAGGATGGAATAATAACGAGGAAGATTAAAGAATACAATTATAAGATTGAAGAATTAATTTAATGAATTAACGAACTATCAATCAAATATATAAACCAAGAAGTGAAAACAAGGCTTACCCGATGCGTAAAGCAGCTTCATGAAAAAGGAATATCAAATACTATCTCGCGTTAATCCATCGCTCTTCTCAGATTTCCCTTAACACAAAGTAAAATCAATTACGTAAAGAACAAGACGCTCTATACAAAGAACTCAAAAGTCCCTCAATCCATAGAACTTCTTACTCGTCCCTTCTAATCTGGAGCTTTTGATTGCAGGACATTCGATCAGAAGGATAGCCATTTTTACACCAGACAATGGCAAGCTTAGGATGGATTGTCCAGGGTGTGCAGCCACCAGATGGCCTGGAGGTCATCCACCTGCAGCTCGTAGGGTATTTCGGTGAGTAATTACAAATAGCTTGTATCCAATCGCAAATCAAATTTTTCATATATATTTTATTTTTTAGACTAAGGGTAGTCACTGTGGCACCTGCTGCTTTCCTGGCGATGACGTGCTTAGCCAGTATTGGCGTGACCCTGGCTCTAGCATTTCTGGCATTTAATCTACACTTTAGGAAGCATAAGTAAGTTCATTCAGTCTCTAAGGTATGACATCTGACAACCTGCTTTTCCCTTAGGAGTATAAAGCTATCTAGTCCGAGGCTAAATAATATGGCAGCTGTGGGATGTGCCCTAGTCTACGGAGCAGTTATCCTCCTAGGTCTGGACCATGCCACGCTTCCTGATAGCGACGGTTACTTCCCAACAGTATGCACGGTAGGCGATATTTCTTAAAAAATGTAAAAAGAAAGAAATATCTAATTTTATCATTTTATCTAAAAGGCCAGAGTATATCTATTGTCTGCTGGATTTTCTCTTGCGTTCGGATCAATGTTCACCAAAACATACAGAGTGCACAGAATCTTCACCAGGAGCAGAAGCGGCGTGGTGAAAAACAAAGTAATAATTCATCTGACAACCAAGATTATCCGATTAACGGTAGTAGTTGTTGATATTATTTTTTTTCTTACAGCTGCTACAAGATACTCAGCTGATCAGTTTAATATGTGTATTACTATTGATCGATGGTCTGGTAGTGACTTTATGGGTGACGATGGATCCAATGCAAAGGCACCTGCGCAATTTGACCTTAGAAATTAACGCCCAGGATCGCGGGGTGGTCTACCAACCTCAGGTGGGACATGGATTGAATAACCAGCCCGAAGCGTGGGCGGCTGCATGGCTTGGTGGCTCGGTGGCTCGTATGTTCTTTCCAGATAATTACAGTTAACAAGCGACAATTAATCCTGTGCCGTTGAACCTACAGGTAGAGGTTTGTCGATCTCAGCATACGAATGGCTGGCTCGGCGCACTTTACGTTTACAAGGGACTCCTATTGGTCGTTGGGGTCTACATGGCCTGGGAAACAAGGTATAAGGGTTATCATTAATCTCCATGAATATAACGACTGCCAAACAATTAATAATGAATCATTAACAATTTACTATTGATTACTAACAATTAGACACGTCAAGATACCTGCCCTTAATGACTCCCAGTACATCGGCATGAGCGTTTACTCCGTAGTAATCACTTCAGGGATTGTGGTTGTTTTGGCGAATCTGATGTCCGACAGAGCTACCCCTGCATTCGTTACTATTACGGCTCTGATCTTGGCCTCGACTACAGCCACCCTGGTACTACTCTTCCTACCCCAATTGGCCAATATCTTAGCTGGTGAAAGAGCCGATCCGGTAGTGCAGAGTCTTGGACTAAAAATCGAATGTAATACAAGGCGGTTCGTTACGGATGATAGGAGGTAAGTGAGTTAAAGGTGGAAAATAAAAAGATCTCTCTCCCATCTCTTTTCATCACTGAGCGAATCCGAGGGTTTATATCCAGCGTGAAAGGCGGGTTATATTCTACTTTGAAACTGGGTTATTATTAATAAACGGATTTCTGAATGAATCAAAGACAATAGCTAACTGTGTTAATTAATGCTCGCTTGGTTTTCAATTATTCAACTTGAAAATCTATGTGCTATTTTCCGCAGGGAGTTGCAGTATCGAGTAGAGGTTCAGAATCGAGTCTACCGTAGAGAAATGGCGCAACTGGAATTGGAACTAGCTCGATTAGAGAAACAGCTGGGAGGAGAATTACCTGGACCATCTCAAGCATCTTCGAGTGCTTCTATACCACCAAGGAATCCAAGCATTGGGGGTGGTTTACCACTGTTACTACTGAGCGTGCTACCCCCTGTTATACCCAGAGCGAGTTGGCCGTCAGCTGATCCCTCCGGTAAGGAAGCATAGTTTGAGGTCTACCGTTGGTCCATCATGGAAAAATTGTAGGATCCTCTTCTTAGGATTGCGATTTTTGCGAATTTTTTCATGATGGACCTTCGTATTCTTTGAGCGAAAATATTAATCCTCTTCTCGGTGTCGCTTACGCCATTCAGGTACGAGGGAAAGGTGAACGAATTTCGTCTATTGCACGCACTCTGCCTGCGACGTTACCCATATTAATTTCTAATAAAAATTCAGAAATTGCCTGATCATTCGCGTTCTACGAATCGATCAAATCAATGCAAATCGATACGTTGGATGAATCATATATTTATAGGAGATTAGACATTAGAGTAGAATGATTGCCTTCTGTCGACCGGAAAGATCAGACTTCCTTGACCCATGACCTTAGCCCTCTTATAAACATGTGTATGCACATGTGTACATATTTACATATATGATACATAATATTCGTATTACATACGAATTTTCTCCAATAGACAAATCTTTCTAGTACTTTTTATTGTCCTGCTCTGCCATTTCTACTTTTTACTTCTCATTATTATATTATAGTTAACTGATGTTATTATCATTTTTATCACTCGCTATTATACTATGTCGTTGATTTCTTCTTTGCGTACCTATAATGCGTCTGTGAACGACGTGATGAGAACACATGTCCTGGTGAACGTAGGCATGCGACGAGGAACCGTAGCGTTTAGCAGTCAACCTGACCTGGAGGATGGCCCACGGAGAAGCTTGGCAGATATTTATAAGCTACATCAACGCAGAGAGACCGAGGGACCAAATCGGCTTGGAGTTTTTCAACGCCTCTTCAGCCTCTTCGGCAGTAGACCCAACAGTAGAAAGACCTCCACAGCATCCTTTACCGGTTTGTATCAGATCAAGATATTGTTTAATCAATGATGCTAATCTTTTTCTCCTCAAAGGAGTGGCTTCCGCATTGAGAGTACACATGGGATATATTGCTGGATTAGTACCAGGTACTAAGGCAGCATCCACTTGTCAGGTAGATGCACAAGGTGCTAGACCACCTCATCCAAGATGTGGTTCAGGCCCTATTATCAGTATAACAAGTGAAGAGGATCGTCGTCTGAGTTTGGGTCTTCGTAGAAAGGAAAGTAGCGAGCCTAGAGTGAACTTCACTTTGCCACCTCGTGAGTATTTATTGTAGTAAGTAATTTTGAATCTGAAGAGAATAGAGATGAGCTGTGACGTGACTATTTTAGAAGCGAGTACCAGTCAGACGTCATCTCGTGAAAAAATCCGTGGTTCGCCAAGATTTCCTCATCGAATAGTACCAGCGAATAGTCTTGGTGCAATCACAGCTATCAGCCTGACCCAGCCACATCGTTGGCACTCGATGGAGGATGCCTCAAGGCCCAAGTTGAGCCCTACACCTCGTGGTTCGTCCCTCAGTCCCAACTGCGACGTCTGGGCCACCCGGGAAGTCGGTATACCGTTAAGTGAACTTGCGAATAGTATACGAGGAAGAAAACCTCCGGAAACCCTGCCTCTCACTATCCCAGCTAGTTCAGATGTCAGTCCGGATAGTCGTCTAGGCAGAGACCTCAGGACGCTCTTCAGGGAAAATGGCGGAACTGAAACAAGTCCTGAGAGTGAGAAATGCAAAGTAGATATGTCACCTACAATTTTTAACGTTCCCAATCTGTCTACTGATATAACTCCAGTGATAAAAGGAAAGCATGAAGTTCTTATCAATCCCATTCTTGTAAGCAATGGTCAAAGTTCACCTACAACCTTAAGCGACGTAGACTGTCCCTGTCCCCAGAGTCCAAAAGTTCTGGTGACTTCATTAGCTAGCCCTATAAGCGAATCGGCCGAGTTCACTGAGGACAGAACTCGGCCATCTGAGAGCATTGATGAAGAACCGACTTTTATTTAATCTTAATAAGGGTGTTCTTTAGTCAACGTGCCAAACAAGCCCGCATAAGTATTCGCAAGATACAGCTGAAAGATGCTGGATGCTGGAGATCTTCGGTTCTCCATACTAAACGAGTGAGTCCTATATTTGGATATCCATGGAAACTTGCTGGTTCAGGATTCTGATTTTACTCACCGATGGACCGAATTTCGGCAGGACAAAAAGTGCTTGTCACTCACATCATAACCCCTAAATACAGAGTGGCAAAGTTTAATTAAAAAAAGAATTTTCGAGTTGCCCGTGTTTACCTTGTTGACAGTTAACTTTGACAAGACGGTCCGACTTATCTCGAGGGACCAACATATTCGATGCTCTGTAACTCCAGGCACTTTTTTAATTAAAAGAGCGTGAGGGTCAGTGGTAAAGAGGCAATATCTCTGGGGAAAAAAGGGGTTAGATAAGACCAGAATACCTGTGCGGGCCCAAGTCAAAGTGTTCAGAGTCCACACAACCCTCTCTAGTACCTGCACTGAGAAAGCGACGCAAAACGGCGCCACCACTCGAATTAATAATAATTGTTCCAGAGCAGAATACATATTTATCGACTAAAAAGAAAAAGAATCTAAGAAATATATATATCAATATTTTCATGCTCCCTTATTATATTATAGTACCGTATAATTAATAGAATGCGCGCCGTTTAATTGCACTGCTCCACGACTCAACCCTATTTCGTACTTACCTTATCTCAATGTGTCAATCCGTGAAGTCTCTAAGTACTAAGCAATAATCAGCATTGTCTGTGCAATAATTGTAATAAAAAAACAATATATAATAAATATGTATATATATATATATATTATATTCATTAGGTCATTATTTAAATGAATATCCTGGTCATTCACGAGCATCTTGCTTTTCTTCTTTTTATTCAGTCTTATCTTATTCCGATAAGTATAAGAATTTAAAATAATCGATGCGATAGACAAAATGTAACTCTCGAGAGGATTTATAAAAGCAGTGACTTTTAGTTTATTAAAGTAATTAAATCAATATTCAACTTTTTTATGTACACGTCCATACAACAGATACTGAGCAGAACCGAAAACACTTGGAAGAATACTTGGTCAGAAATTATACTGACCAACGAAAAATGATCCTGTTCAGCATCCACTACTTCCGAAAGACTGCTAAACGACACTTGGAAGGATCCTTATTCACGATTTACCGTAGACTCGACGTACTCACTTTAGTCTGAGACTCTCAGCACTTTTTCTTGAAGTTCTTATTGACTCGTAGTCTTCTCTTCGTTATCCTGAAATGGAAAAAAATTATTCCACTGGTCTACAGGAATATCATAGATTATAATAAATTTAGTTACTCGAACCTTTTCAGGCGTGGTAGATGCACTTCCGGTTGTGTTTGTTGCACTGTCATCATCGTTAACTGATTTCTCAGAAGAATTGTCGAGCTTATTATTTTTTGGTGGACTCTTAAGAGCATTTTGAGCTTCAATCCTCTTGCGATTGAGGAACGCCATTCCGTGAACCCTCAAATGTTTGTCAACAGCTGCTTTATCCTCAAAAACAGCCATGCAAACGTAACATTGATTGGAGACTGTGGCTTTGCTTTCGTTCTCAGCCTCATCTGTGGTTTCCGGTGCATAACCAGTGTTCTGTGTCATGTAGGTTATAGGATCATCTATCCCGTGGAAGGCCTTCAGGTGCATCTGAAGACTTGGTGCTACTACAAAGTTCTCCCCACACTCTAAACAAATGAGATAACGACCCTTGATTCTGTGATAAGAGGCAATGTGCTCTCTTAACTCAGTCATGTTGCCACATTTGGAATTGCACTTTTTGCATTTGAAGTTGCCCTCGCCATCCTGCACAGGTTCCTGCTGAACAAAAAGACCTGTTCCTGGTGAATTTGTTCTCTCTATATATTTCTTAGGTGTCCATCTTCTTCGTCTCTTTGCAGTAGAGGTTACTGTGTCAGACTTCCGTTTCCTGCTTCCATACAGTTCACGATAACCACCCTCGATGAATTCTTTGGACATCCTTAGAAGTCTTGGGGCAACTATGACTAGTTTGTAATCACGAGAATGCCTGGTATTAAAATGGTTTCTGATAGTAGAAGGGGAGGTGTTGATAAGTTCACGACAGAGATGACATCTGTAATCCAGACTCTCAGAATCTGGACCGTTCACAGCAATTCTCCAGGGTCGCTTTCGTCTTCTCTTCTGTTTGCTCGTTGCTCCTAGTCTCAGATTTCTATCCTGCCATATCCTTCTTGCCTTGCCTACTTCTACTTTCTTTATTGAACTCAACAAGTGCTCAGGTATTCTTGCCAATGGCGGCGGCTGCAATATAGAACTGACTCTGGCTGCGAGATTTCCGTCTTTTGTTTCCATCGATTGAAATTGGATCGCCTGCGATTCGTTAAGTAGATTCCTCGAAATACACAGAGGATTTCTGGCATCTTGGATTTTATTGACTTTCCCCTTTCCTGGAAGAATCTCTACCACCCGTAAAATAGAACGCTGTGATTTATCTTCTGTGTCTCTCGACACCTTTGAGGAATTTCCCTCACTCTCACTGAGTAGTACTATTTTCTTTGATAAACTTGACATTCTGGAAATTGGCTCCAATGGAGGTATTGGCCTTATTTCCTCTTTTGATTTCATCTTTGTCTTTTCCATTGAGTCACTTGTCGTCGAGGTTACTCTTTTTGATGATTTTATTATTGCACGTGCTTGTAACCTCTGTTTTGTGATCTTATGACTGTCCTTAGTAATAATCTTTAATAGTTCTTTATTCGACTTGATATTATTATGCATAGGTTTTTCATTAAATTCTGAATCCTCAGCGACGCCATTTACAGCCATTGATCTGACATCAAGTGTTTTAGGAATGGTAGAAGTCTTGCTAAATGATTTTGAACTTTTTGCTTCTGTACGAACATCGATAATCTTGGGTAAACCATTGACAATCCAATATTGGCTATCAGAATCGACATTGCCAGAATCCATCACATTATCATCTACATTTTGCGAATTTTGTTCAAACACTTCCGGTGTGATGCTCGTTGTACTCACTATTTTAGGCACCAGTAAATTTGTTTCCGTATCTTGATTCTCTTTTGAAGTGATCTCAGTAGAAATCTCATTTTCAAGATCACAGGCAGTGTTATTATATAATTCACAGAGCTGGTCAGCATGATGATGACTGAGATGATTCTTGATCTCTTCTTTGCCATGGTCTATGTCTTTTGTAAGGAATGAACAAAAAAGACACTTGTAATAATACATTCTGGCCACACCTACATGGTTATCTACATGACATCTAAAATTTACTGGTTTTACCACACACTGTCCTAAGTTACAGACCATAAGTCGTACTGGCTTCACCACAGTATCAGGATGTGCTTCGTCCTGATGTTTTTTGAGGGATGCATGAGAACTGAGCACCAAATGACATTCTGAACAAGCAACTTTTCTTTCACTGTGACAAATTGCAAAATGCCTAGTGACTGTTTCAAGATCCAGGAAACCATCAACTTCACAGATTATACAGCTAAACCATCTTCGGAGAAGAGGATGGAAACAGGATGTCCATACGTGACTTTCTAATTTCTTGAAGGATGCATATCTTTTTAGACATTCTGGACATTCGAAAGGCTCACACTTTTCATGATAATTTATATGAGCTCTGAGTTTAGTGCTATTAATCTGAAATGTTTTACATATGTAACATACGGAGTTGTAACAGTTACAGAAATTTGACTCTTCGCATTTCATTCTTGAAATTCCTATAATATAAGACTTTGGCTTGATTGCTTTTTTACAAATGCCACACTTGGGAAAATCTTCATTTTGAAGATCAACTTCCCACTCTTTTTCCATGCTCTCAATCTCTTCCTGAAGTTGCTTCTCAGAATTTCCTTCTTCGCTATTCCACTGAACTGGTTCCTTGAGTGCATCCTCCAAATGTTTTAAGGCTTTCAGATTGTTCTGTATTATTTCATCGTTATCTGTTTTCATGAGTTTTGAATACATGGAGTTCACAGACTTCAAATGTTCAATTCGCCTTTCAATCTCTGCTTTACTCAGGTGCAATAGATTGTCTAACATTTGTTCCTTATACTTTGGTAGCAAAGCGTTTAAATTATGACATGCTCCAGATTGTTTTTCCGGTACCACTGATGCTGAGCGGAAATAAAATTGACCAGAATCATCAGTCTCTATCCATAGATGCTCGCTGGTCTTATTAGTGTTCTGCATATTCGAATAATAGAGATGATTCATATGTTCTGAAAACGTATCACTACCCAAAGAACACAAGTCTGATTTTTCAGGTTCCCGATCAGAAGCCGAAATCAGTTTACCATGTGAATATGAATTCGGTAGTTCAGGCGCCGACGAGGCACCCGGTGGTGAACCAGGAGTGGCGGCCTTCGGTAAATTTCCCACAATTGATTTTTTTATCAGTGAACGCGAAAGATCACTCGTCTTCAATAAATTACTCGCCATGGCAACTTTACTAACAGACATTGTACCAGGTTTGCGTATAATAAATTTCCTACCGTTCTTGTAAATGATTTTTCCATCCAAAGTAACCTGCTGCACGTTAGATCCTGCAGGATCCATTAATATTTTATGAATCGCATTAGCTGCTGACAACTTCGCACTCTGTTCATTGGGAACAGAAACTAATGCCGGGGCCATTTTTAATGGTACTGTTTTAAGAATTTTTGCTTGTCCTGCATCCGATTTCAATTTAATCGTTCCTTGATTAATACTCATTTCCTGATTAGATACATTGGTACCCCGTTCCGCATCTTGCCCAATGAAAATAATCTTCTTGCCATTGATTACATCTTTTGGAAGCTGATTAATTATCGATGACAGATCAGTGCTCTTAGGATTGTGCACTGTCAATATTCTGGTACTTGGTTTTGTAGCAGCTGCATATACTTCCTGTTTACTCAAAATAGAATTCGCTGTCTTGCTAGCAGCAGGTGTCTTGTCAGATTTTGACGCCAGTAACGAAAGTGACGTTTTGCTGACGCTCGTTCGTCCTTCCGGTAACTTTTTTAACATTTGCTTCTTTAGATCGTACTCCCTCGAGAAATCCTTCCACAAATTGGTAACCACGTTACTTCCGGAAGATTCATTGGCGAATTTTTTCACAGAAACTTTTGGAGCTAGTATCGAATTACTACTTGACACTGTGACATTGGAGGATATACTATACACAGGATTGCCATCAGAACCTCTAAAGTGCTTCGCATTTGCCGTTGACGATGCTATTATTTTCATGGGCACAGTTATGGCTACTGTTGAATTACCGGAAGTACTGGACGATTCCGTATTCTTTTTACTGGTGATTCCCAGCAAGGTGTTATCCAGGGCAAATGTCTTCATAGGCGATCCACAATCGACGAATGCAATATCCGTTGATGTGTATGGATCATCGTCACTTTCTGAGACTTCTGACACGCTTATTGAGTTAATAGCCGTTGTTTTACAAGGACTAATACTCTTTGAACATTTCAGACTTTTACTTTTTCTCAAAGATTTCATTGTGCTCTTGACATCCATCCTAGATCCCAAGCTCTGCGTGGACGACCTGTTAGCCGTAGGTATTTCCGGCGGCACTTCCGGAAGCAGTTTCATAGCGCGAATATTTCGCACAATATCACTGATGCTAGTTAAATTAGCGTCAGAGACTACACGCAACAGTTCCCACCATCTTTGCTCCATATTCTTCATCCTGAGCCAGTCAAGTATATGGACTCCAGTTATGAACATGTGCTCTATCATTATTTCACAAATTTTTTCTAATTTTGTATATTGATCTTTCTCCACGTCCAACGGTATCGGCATTAACATGATGTCACACATGTCCACTGCCTGTAACTGATGTGATTTGACATGTACGAAAAACTGACACTGATTATAGAATATTTTAACAGAACCCGGTTTCCGGCCTCTTTTAAGTCCCCGTGAGCGCAAGTGTTGCCGTTTCTCGCGATCTCGCGTCCTACACTCGTTACAAGATCCATCAAGGGCTAAAACATGATTGCAATTATAGAAACAGCTTTGACACCAGTATCCCAGAATCCAACTACGTCGCGCTGTGTGATCCTCTAGGCTGCTCAAGAAACGAAAACTGGAACAAAACATTCCCTATGACAGAAACTTCATAGTTTGAATATTGAGTCTACGGTGCATTGAAGTATTCAGTCTATTCAAAGTGACTGATGTTTATCATGAGAAACTTACCAATCTCTACATTGCTTACAGACATACAATGGCTGAGACTCAGTTGTTTCTTTACTTAGGGATGGTGGTGGCTCTGATGGCATGTATGGTGATGGTCTCATTGTAAAGACTGCATCCTTCACAGCACTGAAATATTTCGAGCCCCATTTATTCTCCAGTAGTTTATTCTTCCGTAATTTTGGCATAATCTTTGAGATTTGCCTAGACACTAGAATGGTATCCTGAAAAAAAAATTTAGTCATTAAGATTGGCTAGATAAAGAGATAATAGCAAGGTTCATATTAGTTAACATAACATTGAACATAACATTGATCAGTGTCCTTATATTTAAAGTAGAATTATTCAGAATTTCTTATCCAATACCAGAGTTTAGAAATAAATCTAACTGAAGAATGACATGTTCTCAGATTAGCATAGGTGCACGTTAGAGACATGTTGGTCTCCATATTAATATATCTATTATAAATATTCTAACTATACATCATAAGGTCATCTATGATCATCTTTTAGAATAACATGCCTCACCATCTGGAATATTTTCACTTGATTCTTATTGTTCTACAAAATATTAGGAAATGAATAAGTAAATTGTTATCAAGCACTAAACTGAACAATTTGCAGCCATGACATCACTTCACCCAGTGTCTGCTCTGTCGGTATACGAGAAATTGACAGAGCTGCCACCAAATACGAGAACTAAGGTAAATGACATATTGTAGCATGATGAAAAATACTGATATTTCTAATATTACTTGTAGTTCTCCACTGCATTGCAAAACATAAAAAATTGCTGCTCTGTGGATTCCACTTTTCATTCCTCTTTAAAGAGCTTTCTTCTGTTTTTTGGTTACCACTACATCCCATAAATGTCCATATCCAAAAATGATCTTTCACTTTAGACCTTTGACTTTTCAACAAATCAATCACTTTGTATAATAAAACACTATCAGACTCGTAAAGTGGAAGCTTTCCTGTACAGAGAAACAATATTACTGATACCGGCAATGTATATTATTAGTATTACATGAATCTAAAAAACAAAGTTGAGATATGCTTTTTGTAAATTCTGAGCGTATCCAATGATCTAAAATAGAAGGTCTTCTGTAGTTGTCACATCATGGTATCATTTAGTGTCTGGACAGCAAATGGTACATTCTGAAACTAGACTTAAAACTAACAGAATAAATGGTATTTGCACTCAGTATTAAAGTGGTTCGATTGAACTTATCAAACAATATCTTACCACTTTCTTGATCTTGGAGCGTTCACTAGCCATCATCCTGGATGACTGGTTCATGTAGACCTCATGATTTATCAAAACAGAGCTTCAGCCTTTTACAATCTTATACGTTGCTTCAATACCTTTCTTCAAGGATCCTATTTCGTAGTTCCATTCAGTTTCATTTTTGTTGCTGGTCGACCAGAGAGCGCTTACATCGCAGTAAAGGTTTTTGCCACCACTAAACCAATAGGAAATGACGGATGGCGACATCATACGAATCCATGAACAAATAAATCAACACGCAACCTGCGAGTGTCTAGATTAGACAGACGGATTGTCTGATTCAGTTTCGTGTTAGTGTGATTCTTTTTAAAGGAAATTTGTGACGGCTTGTCTTAGCGTCAATGAATGTGTAGCCAATTCAATTTTACTAGCGCATCATCTAATAATATTGCAAATAAGAGCTAGAGAAGCAAATCATAGAAAGAATCATCTATAATATGGCAATGTGGAAAGCTGACGTTTATGAGGACCTGCATCTGTAAGTATAATAATTAATGTTCTATCATTATGACGTTTCTTTCTATCTATGTCTATGACATCATTACTGTAATAACAACGTAATTATTGCAGGTACATAACACCTGAGAAATTCTATATCGAGCCTGTGGATACCAAAGTTTTATTGGTAGTCGATAGAGCTAGTCAGCAAATTTATACTCAAGGTAATGATAGTTTGCATAATATGCTTATTGACATAAGCCATTGTAATGAAAAATGTTATTGTTTTTCAGCTGGTACTGCCAGTCAAATACCACAGACTGCAAGTAGACGTAAAATATGGGGTATCGTTGGTACTATACGCCTGTTGGCATGTCAGTACTTAATAGTAATTACAGACGCAGAGAGTGTAGGGACAATAGCTGGGGAAAGAATATACAGAATAGTTTCAACCGATATAATACCTTATGCAAGGTCTTTTGTTCACTTGAGTGAAAAACAAATTGAAAATAATACCACCTATTTGGAAATGATTAAAACTGTACTGAACACTCCATACTTCTACTTCAGTTATACATATGATCTGAGTCATACGATGCAACGACTTCATAATACGACTCCAGAGTTTTTGCAGGTTTATTAATGAATAACAATTTCTATATGCTATCTACACTTTTCAAAACTAATTCAGAATATGTTAATTATTTAGATGCCATTACATGATCGGGCAGATCCACGATTTGTCTGGAATGCCTATCTCCTTCAAGAATTAACAGCGCGATCTGAACAATATAAGTTCTGCCTGCCAATTATACACGGCTGTATCCTTTAAGCATTATGTCATCTCTTATGAAAGAATCTTGTACCCTATATTCTCTTCCACGATGGTGCCTACCTAAAAGGGACTATGTTCCTTAACAAGAAATCATAGTCGTATCATTGAAAACTGCGGTAATCAATGGTGTAGCTTTCAACTGGGGTGTTGTTTCAAGACGTAGTGTGCATCGTGCAGGCACAAGACTATTTTCACGAGGAATAGACTCAAACGGTAACGTGTCAAATTACGTGGAGACGGAACAGCTTATCGAGGTAGATGGCGATCGGAGTTCTTTTGTACAGACCAGAGGCTCAATTCCTTTGTTCTGGCAGCAAGCTCCAAATCTAAAGTATAAACCAAAGCCTCAGCTAAGTCCGCACGAAGATCATCAAACAGCATGCGCACGTCATTTTGACGCACAAATCTTTCACTACGGGAAGCAGATTCTAGTGAACCTGGTAGGTATTTTCAATTACCCAAGATTTCAATCTGACATATTGTACGCTTACCCGATTGTTTTAGATCGATCACAGTGGGCCTGAAGATGTTCTGGAAAAGGCTTACCGCGACATGGTGTATCGAATAGGAAATCAAAATGTCAGATACGAGTCATTTGACTTTCACGCCGAGTGCCGTAAAATGCGTTGGGATCGTCTAAACGTCCTGATGGATAGATTGGCTCACGATCAGGAACAAATGGGTTACTTTCTTCTGTCACGAGACGGAGCTCTATTGTCAGCTCAGGATGGTGTTTTCCGGACAAATTGTATCGACTGTCTTGATCGTACAAATGTCGTTCAAAGTATGTTAGCTAAAAGGGCACTAAGTGATGCTCTTAATCGACTTGGAGTCTTGCGGAAGGTCGAAGAGCATCCCTCTCTGGAGTATGTCTTTAAACAGGTGAAGCAAGAACTTTATAAAACTGCCAAGTTAACTTATTATTATTGTATCCAACATTCAAATTACATCTTCAGGTCTGGGCTGATAACGCGGATGTGATAAGCGTTCAATATTCCGGTACTGGCGCCTTGAAGACAGACTTCACAAGAACAGGAAAGCGAACCAAGCTGGGCGCCATGAAGGACGGAATAAATTCATTGACAAGATATTATAAAAATAATTTCGCGGATGGTTACAGACAGGTGAGTAATTTTACAAAGATATTAAATGAGTATATGAAGAATTGATGGTCCTAAATTAATAATTGACTTCCTTTCAGGATGCTCTGGAGCTCTTCCTGGGTAGATATATCATCCAACATGGAGAATGTCTGACTCACAAGTGTCCATTAGAAACTGAACGCAACTGGCGTTACGCAACCTTCCCTCTAGTTCTACTAATTGCGTCATCAATGCTAGTAGCCCACGTAATTCTACCCTCTAGATACACCACCGAAGTATTACTATACATGTTATTTTGGGGTGGTATGGTAGCTGGCACATTTGCAACCATCATTCATCATGGAAAACAATACGTGGACAAGCCGAAACTATTATAGTTGAAGAAATTGGCAGATTGCTCTGAGCATTTTAATCGACGTCACTCAAATGCGACGCCATCTTCCACCGAATACAGAACATTATCTGCCAGAATTTCGTATCGTCCTTAAAATCCTAGAGCATAATGTCCAATGAAATCTATTCCTGGGGAAGCTAGTCTTTGTACCGATTTTTCGTAATGAACTTTACATTTCTTACGGATATTTACTATTCCAATCAATCACTGCACGAGTAGCTATCCCTGGTGTTAGGATAATCGTTAAAGAACGTCGAAAACTAATCATGTAGGTACACAAAAATTTCATTAATAATAGAAGAGATCAATCGATCAATTCAGAGATCGATAAGCAAATACGAGTATTTCGTACGTGATAACGTACCTGTAAGTATGAAATCTATTGTAACGTACTGTAAAGTAATGCAATGCATTACTGTGCAATACCCATTCCAATGAATCACCTTGGGAGTAAGAAAGTCTCTTTCCTTCCCCAGCTTCAATCTCAGCAACGCATGCGGAATCCTTTTCTGTGAACTACTTGGCACCAGTGTGGCAGATTTCTTGACGTCACTTGAAAAATTGAGAGGAAACTCTAGACAAATAGAATTACGAGTACCGCACCCATAGAAAACTAACGTAATGGATGAGTAACGTTTTTCATTATATTCCAAAGCTTTTGTTTTATCGACTGACAAGAGAATTCACGCGATAAAGATAAAGAAACTTTCATCAGTTTTCATCTATTCAGCGAATCGTTCATGTCCTGTTATTCAAAAGTCTCTGGTCACAAAACGCTTTCAAGAGACGCAACGCGGCTTTCCGCAGCTTCTGAGCCTTTGACAAACGGCTCCACGTAATTGGATTCGTTTTATAAAGTTCCGATGAAACGTGGAGCTTCCGCTGCCATTAATTGGAGATAGGATCCGGGCGGTTCGTACAGGGGTGCAGCGGGAGAACGGCGAGTGATTAATTTGATTCAATTACAAGCCAGAGCAAATCCGGGGCATCGATTTTATAACCGTCCCAAGTGTGCCGCGCGCAATCTTTCTGCTTCCTGGAAATATTCCGTATCTATCCTTACGTTTTCTACAAGACCAAGGCCACTGTCAAACAGTATACATATATACTAGAATGTCTTATGCTCACTGTATTGTTTTCACAGGGAATTGTCAGATGGCGTCAGTCATTCAATTCTCGCTATTGGATAAAGTAATAATGTGAATTTCATTTCTCGATCTATTTCCATTAAACTACACACAATGCTCCTGGATTCTAAAGAAAGAAGAATACGTGTATATCCCCTATGAGGTGATTCCCCTAAGTTCATTACGATATACAGGGAAATACTATATCACGATTTTAACATTGGTTCTGATATACAAAGAAAACAAAATTTACACCACATTGGAATATCGAGTAAGAAAACTCGTTCTACAATTTGCAAGTATTCTCGCACAGTGAAAAGCTGCACAGGGTGGCTGGTTGGCTACGTACTTACACAAGGATGGATGATACATGGAGATCGTGCCTAAATTTCCCACGGGAGTCGTATGTCTCCTCGCCTTCCGTTTTCCCTCTGGACGTCCCACCGACTCCAATAGTTACCTATAGGTACCAAAGGGTGCGTGGTATACCCGTGTAGATATATACATCTAATTCATATGAAGTTAAGGGCAACCAATGTATGTACACAGAGTAGCACAGGATTTTCACGCGCCATTTAAAATGATACTTTTTTTTAAACAACCCTCATTTTTCCTTCCGAAAATCTGAACAGAGTTTTCCTACCATATGACGTGTGAAGGGAAACCGTAGTACTCACCAAATTTACATGTAATCTTGTTATCTGAAGCTATGACTATGGAAACACATGATGCAATTCATAATACTAAATTCCTTTTACCTCCGCCCCCCTTCTATGGAACGTAGAATCTGGCTGAAACAGTCGAGAGCAAGCATTGTGTCTGTGCAAGCGAAATGGCTGACACTGTGTGCGAAAGCGTGCGTCTATTATGCAGAAATGTTGCGGGCCTAAAAAAAAGTGGGTGGTAAAGCACGTGCACGTTGAAACTTATTATATAACGTAGAGTGACATTGTGGATCCTTGCTAGAACGCGTCAGGACAAAATGCCCAAATTTTAAACATAAAAAGTCAGTTGTGCCGCGTAAAAATATGACTGGCATATTTAGCGCGATGACGTCAGAAGTGAAGAAATATTTCATACCGTTATTCTCGTGATTTTTTAAAATACTTATTTTAACGAATAATTTGAATTTCCGCATAGTCATCCAATATACTATACAGTTTAACACGGGACAGTTGACAGGAAAAAAAGGCGTCTTTAATTGCTGCCATTCAGCCAGCCTGTCAATGCCTGTTTCTAATATTCTTTATAATATAAATACGGATTGAAAAACCGAATGCGACAGAAATCAGGATGTGGTCAGACATCTTTAAATCAACTCAAGTGGTTAACTGACTGTTTTCTAACACAGAATTTTGGGGTCGGAATAACTATTCTTTCGAATCCGTCCACGTGACGATAGAATACACGGAAAATCGGTATTTGAACTTTGTTGAGCCTATTGTCACGTTGCAGCTGTTAGGTCCGAGAGCAGCAAGAAATTAATTCCTAGACTAAACATTCGCTTGAAGTCAGTCACGGTAATGAGCATAACGCATAACCTTGGATACGATCGAATTTAATAAAGGAATGATAGGATTTTCAATTTCAGAAATATCGTCACGAGTGTGTAAGTATGAGCCTAATAAAGTAAACGAGAACAATTTTTCTTGGACAAAAGGTTTCTCTTACTGCTGGTAGAATAAAGGTGGAAAGCTGAAGGCTTTACAAAGAAGGGTAGGGGACCCCTGTCCGCAGCGCAAAGTAGAACCGGGACATAAAATGTCGCGAGGCGGGCACCCGCAATTTCCCCAGGATCAACAAACCCCGGCTTATTAACTTTTATGAGGGAACCGTCGAGTAAAAAAGTTGCGAGATGGCGGGTCTCGACCACGGGCGAACTCACAAAAATGCGTCATCTCATTTTTCGAAGGAAGACACCAGAGGGAACTTCAACGAAACCTTGATGCTTCGTTTCTCTGACCATTATTTCTACTCTCGTTCCTATTACTATTCCTAGCGACATCCATTTTTCCCTCCTCTTGTTTAATCGCTCATTGACTCTATTTACTGGCCTGTCTCCCTGATATTACCTACCACCTCATACCATCACACGTAGACTTTCCACAATTAGAGAATCATTTGTAGACCATTTGCAACGCCTTGCTCTCTCATGAATTTTAAAACAGACCATAACGAACTGTGTGCGTCCGAATGCGTAGAGTAATGATAATGTATTGTAACGTGATTTTTCGAATCACGGTCCCAAGGCGGTTCCGGTGACCGATACAGATAACGTTCTCGATTTCTGGTTCCCTTCAGGTCGCCAGCCTGCTCAGAAGCTACGCTCTTGGGTTGATTCGTACAGTTATGTCAAGGCTCTCGTAAGATTTCCTTATTGTTTAGTTGAGGTCGAGGTAGGCAGGAGAGGAACCTCCTGCCCGAGTTGAGGATGTGGTGCCCAGCTGTCGCCCGATGCCCTGGGGAAGCGGCCGTGGAGGATCTCCAGGAGTTACGTACCGATTCGTTAAGGAACGCTCTCGATTTGGTTTAAAGGGACGACTCGAAGGAGATAGAAGAGTTATCGGCTATAAGGCTCTCGACCAATCAGAATGATTAGTTCTTGGATTTGGCTATTGTCAATTGACTGTTTTAAAGCAGTCTGTCTCGGGGCCTATTGTCAAAGCAGTCTGTCTCGGGGCACCGACCGAGGTGTCACGAAGGACATCGCGGTCCCGTGCTATCTGTTGATAGCTTTTCTTGCCGTGTTTCGCTACAGTATGGCAAGTTCTCGATTCGTACAGTTCTCGAGTTGTTCTCGCGATATCCAGGCAATTCTATGAATTCCTGTGAGTGTTCCGGAGGTGTAGTGCTGTGCTTGAGTGTAGTGTCCACCAGAGTGTCCTTTGGATCCAGTTCTCGGCCTCCACGGATTAGCTGCCCCAGCTCCGGTGAGTCTCCCAATTTATTAATTGGTGAAGGGATCTCGGTAGATAGTTAAGATTCGCTCTGAAACATTCTCGGTTCGTCGCTCTCTGTCTCTCGCACTATTTGCCGGACTCTTACTCCGACCCTCTCTACCTCAAACCTAGCAGCCTGAGCGGCCGTGCATTTCCGTAACCGTCCGCTCCCGTTCGTGTATCCAGTTGCGTTTGCTGATTTTACTCGACCCCAAAGATGAGCACCTACGGTTGTTTCCCGATTTTACGCGTCCCCAAAAATCGACAGGATCCGTTAAGCTATCGCCTCGTCCGATAGGTTCCGTCAGAGTTCTCGTTCTTGGTGGAGTTGGGCCTGTTCCACCCCAACTCCCAGTTTATACCGGCTCGTCAGTTCCCGGTGAAAAAAGAATTGGCTGGCGCCCGCCTGGCTTGCGGATGCACGAACGACGGGTGGACGGCCGAAGGTAACGTAGGTTGGTTCTCGAAGATAGTCGTTCTCGTATGTTTTCCTATCGGTGTCGGGTCATAAGTTCAAGAATTACGTTACAGTATATACTATAGGAGAGCAAAGTTTATTCACGATTAAGATATATTTTGAGGTCACCATCCCCTCTATGGCTTCCAATGTATGGCATATCTCCTGATTGGAGGAGGCAGCCACATGGAAAGGAAAGAAGGAAGGAAGGTTTCCAGTATAAGTCACCTGAATCTGACATGTGACTCGTGGCTCCGCCACAGCTAGAATGAAAAACTATTCCGTGAGAATAAGGGTACACAGGTGAGGGAGCGCGGGAATCCAATTACGTTCAAATTGATACAACATGTGTTGTTTCACGTTCTACTAGAAATCTATTATTCTTATTATCATCCTGTAATACGTAATTTTACGTAAATTTGTATTTACAAAATGAATCAACAAAAAATTACAAATGCATTGATTCATAGTTAATGAGAATCACAGTGATAATATCCTATTTTCCTTTCAAGTTTATATGCGTCATTGGATGATATGATCCATCGTTGGATCTATCAACAGACGCTAGAGATATTCTAATATCCACTTAGTGAACAAGTGGAACGATCATTCGATTATATAATTCGTAGACAGTATGTCTGTATAACAATATCTAACCGAGTGAAGATACAAAAACTCGAGCGCGCTAATATTTTGGTTCAGTCTGTACCGAGACGTGAGGACAATTGTGTGTCTAGCTTTTGCTTGTGCTCAAAATAGTGTGTCCGGTAGACAGTTTGTAGGCCAATACGTTAGGCACGGGTAGTGCTGTGTGTAAAAGTAACCTAAGAGAGTTAAGAAAGGACTGGGAAGGAAAAATGACAATTCTAAAAACATACGTTTACGTGGTGCTGATGTGTCTTCTAGGAATTGGTTATGCGAGCATTCCATTACCTGACAAGAAATTCAAGATTCTGGGTGTCTTCGGTCATGTGGGAAAAAGCCATTTTGCCGTCTTCGAGCCTCTTCTCGAAGAACTTGCACTACGGGGTCACGATGTCACGGTACTGTCTCATTTTCCACGCACAACAAAGTTAAAAAATTACAAGGACTTAAGTCTGAGAAGCAACGAAAGTCAAATCGCCGTTGATGTCGTGGATTTGAAGATCGTGAAGGCTCACGCTGCGAGCGTATTGTTTGAGCTGGTTACATTATATCAATGGGGTTTAGCTGGCTGTGAAATAAATTTGAAACATCCTAATACGCAGAAGCTGATAAAATCTAATGAAAAATTTGATGTCATTTTAACCGAAGTTTTTAACAGCGACTGCTTTTTAGGTTTTGTACATAAATTTCAAGCACCGTTTTTAAGCTTGTCATCCCATCAAATTTTACCCTGGGTTAATCCCCGTATAGGGAATCCTGATAATCCTAGTTATATTTCTACTACCTTTCATGGGTATTCGTCGCATATGACTTTCTATGAACGTTTGATGAACACTATCTTTTTGGGATTGGAAAAGATAATGTTTTACACAATGTTCACGTGGTCAACGGATGTGATAGTGAGAGAAGTTTTCGGGCCAGAAGTACCATCCGTTGTGGAAATAGGAAAAAATATGTCAGCACTATTAGTAAATACTCATTACTCTCTTCACCGTGCGCTACCTCAAGTGCCTGGTACGATTGAAATTGGTGGAATCCATATTGGCACGCCGAAACCATTACCAGCTGATATCAAAAAGTTCCTGGACGAAGGCACAGAGGGCGTGCTATTGTTCAGCTGGGGATCTATGGTAAAAGCATCTACTTTACCCCAAGAGAAACTCAACGATATCATTAAAGTCATTAGCAATATACCAAGACGAGTCATTTGGAAATGGGAAGCTGACGAGCTTCCTGGCAAACCTAAGAATTTAATGATTAAGAAATGGCTGCCTCAGGCGGACATATTAGGTAAGTACTAACCAATAAACACGTAACATTGCACATATGTAGTTACTCATGCCATAACCTTAAATTAGCATACTCAAACGTCTCATATAACTCACAATCAGCTCAATTCATAACGACCAGTCACTTTAGTATCTTAGGAGCAGTGACTATCTACCCTATGTAAATTTGCTGTATCACGCTGATAATAACAAGTGACTAATTCGATTATGTAGTACAAAACGTATGTTGTGCGTCGATATATGAATCAGCAACTATCGGTATCACTGCTTGTGGTATCTGCAGTGCCGAATTTTTGCCGAATTTTTGTACGAACAACTACAGCGCCAGGGGCGTTAATATAGCCTACGATTCGAATAACAGCAAAATAAGAGGGACGTGTTATTATGGAAATTTTGACGTACGTAGAACGACGTGGGCGGATAGTAATGGCGGAAGGTAGGAGGCAATTACCGTAATGACACTCGGGGATGACACCGCGGTTTACCGCTTGACGTTGCTCCAAGAGGTGGTTGCCAACCCTAGGTCCTGGGGCACGTCAAACTTTACTCTTAAACCTTATACCTTAAACCTTCCTCATGTTCACCCTTTAGACTTCAGCCATCAAGCAGGAAGCTTACGCTACGAGCTGCCATCTTGCCAAAGTCCTTCCAACTCTTCTTCGTAATTGGAATATCATTTATTTCTGTCTCTATCTCTCTCTCTCTCTCTCCCCTACTGTGTCAAGTGTATATATTTATCATGCTCTTAGCCTTCTCACTTTAATTTCTTTCTCTTTTCTCTTTACCTTCTAGCCTATAACTCCCATTAACTTTCGAAGTACTCCACTTTTCCCACCACTCGAATCTTTTTCTCTATCTGTTCTTGCTTGGAACTGAATTAACGGTTTTCTAATTATATAGAATTTTATATCCACGTCATTCGATCATTTAGGAATATTTTACATTTTATAATGCTTTATATGTAACGCTGGCCTACGCACAGTCATTTATCAAGTAGTTTGCTACTCTGCTATACTTCGTGTGTATCCTTCTCTATCTTTCTCTTCTCTTCTGGCTCCATCAGGGTAATTGCGTTAGTAATGCCGTTCCTCATACAATTACGTAGACCTTCTGTCAGGAGCTTGTATCTGTTGGAACCCACGTCGATTCACTTTCGTCTAATATCATTTTAATCAATTCCTTTAACTTGCCGAAGCGAGATAACCTATTAAGTGAAATTGAAGTCACGTGGCTTCTGTTTCCATGACAAAGAAAATTTCCTTGGGATATATTATCAATGAAAAATTGTTTACGCAATATTTTTTTATAAAGGTCTGATGTCTATAATGTATCTTGAAAGTTACACAACAAATAGATAAAGAAACGGTTTGCTAATCGATTAGATTAACACGTGAAGCGCTGAGGTGACTTTGTCTTTCCGTTCACGCCACGCGGATACCACCAAACGGTGGTCACCATTGGCCGACGGCAGCCTGAACGGAAAGTTGACTGTTGGTCTTCGATGATGGACGCCGTCTGAATGGGTTAAGAAATACAGTTATCAGAATCAATTCTAAGAGTCGCGATAATATGAGCTACCGAGCGTTTGGCTTGATTAGTAAAGTTCTTTGAAAATTCTTCGTATCAGGAATGCCTTGTCGCATTAGGGTTTAGTTAAGATCCTGGAAAAGTCGACGGGAAATGCGAGATAGAGGAAAGTAAAGAGGGGGGCAAACATTTCAGCAACCCCCTCGCGTAAGCAGTTTTGCATCTGGGCTTGCCGGCGCGAAACAACTTTAATTAGGCAACTCGCTAACGAGTCAGGGACAACATAAATCATCCTTAAACCTTTTAGCAATGAAGACCTTCCCGTAAATGGGAACAACAGTATAAGAAGAAGGAGGGAGAGAAAAGCCAGGCAACCATTAGCGGTTATATCGGTAAAAGGGAGTCCAACCGTAAATAATACGAAGAGGAATGTGAATAAAATGCAAATAAAAATTTAAAATATTAAAATAAAGAAAAATGTATTCTCCGTAAACACAAGGGTCTTGCATAATAATTAATGCAGTGCTTATATCGGTCCATGTATATAATCTATATAATTTAAAAAATTTTTCTCCGATTTTTTAAAATCCCAAACACATACGGTTCAACGCCGAATATTAAACTTCAACTTTACCGTTGACTGGCTAATATGTACTTTTGCTACGCTGTAATACCTGATCAGCAATCTAGCCATCCAGTTCGGTACTCATCCTACACCGAGAGTTCAGCTAGGATCCAGGAACCTGGCCAGAGGCTGGAATCGCTCGCTTTAATTTTATTATCCCGCTTCGTGACCGTACTCGAATGAGCGGCTCAGAGCTTTGCGAACACATCAAACACGTACCTGCCGCGTTCGCAGTCCAGCATTAGAAGTGAAGTAGGGTAGGCGGACTAAAAACCCGTGATTTCTTTCAGGTCATCCAAACGTCAAATGTTACTTGGCACATGGAGGTCTTCTTGGACTCTCCGAAGGTGTCAATGCTGGAGTACCCTTGGTGCTAGTACCTATGTATGGCGATCAGTTCCACAATGCAGCACAAGCAAAGTCACGAGGAGTAGCGGAAATCGTCGAGTATGAAAATCTGAATGAGAAGACCCTCCGTGAAGCTCTAGACAAGATCTTCAATGACACCAGGTATTAAAAGTTATAATTATTATTAATGTACAAAAATATTGTGCGACCTCGTTCAATCTACCATTAGGAGCCAGTCGATTACGTTCGGACAGCTTTGGCTAGGTTTGGTTTCGTGGGTGCCCACCATTTGCCCACATGGGAAATTTCACGAGTCCGTCTAAAAGTTTCATGGCGAATCAACCGTGACGGCCCATAGCGAGGAAACCGCGTGGGCCGACTACGGCGGCTCAAATTAAAGGCTGCATTATTCAAGTAACCCTCTACCCCGCTTCACCATCCGAACAAGCCATACGTGCATCTCCCTGCATATCTGCATAATTCCAGCATCCCTTACGATGCACCATTACCCTACGTTGTATCATACGTACACATAAATTGTGAAACGTCCGTGGAATCGTTCAGGTAAATTTATACCATTGTTTTCTCCATTATGCACGTAACGCTTTTGCCTTTTCTTCCTGGAATTAACAGATTTACGTTCTGTCGCAGCGTCGCGGCGCCTACCGACAGGTGGGATCTTGCGAGTGCTGGAGCCATTGAAAGTTTCCGCAGTTTGTTAAGGGGGTGGTTCTGGGTTTCGGTTACGGCTGAAGAATAACGTAGTTCACGGCACCACATGTAGCCCCCACCCATTTCCACCCCATTACTATACTCGCCGTTATACACATATGTGGGACTGAGTCTGTATCACGGTACATATAGATATTGAGTTGGAAGCAGCTACCAATACTGTAACAAGTCCGGGACACGTTCGTGACTATCGTCACCACCACTACCAGCAGCTTCTGCATCACCCAGTTACCTGACAGACTTCTTTATCGCTCTGTTGTTCGCCGCCCCT